GACCCCCACATGGCTGACTGCAGTTCAAGTCCCTGACCTGGTGGCTGGAAAGTCCTAACAAAAATAGATAAATAATGTTAAGAAAGGAAGAAGAATGGTTTTGTTCCACTCCTACATAATAAGCAGAAATAACTGTTTAAAATAAACTTAGGAAGCCTAAAAAAAAGAATTCTTCAAATCCAATGATTTATCTTTCCCTCCATTTCATTCTGCTTATGTGATACTTCAAGTATTAATAACTTGCATATAAGTATTTCAACTTAGGTTTAAATACGGAATATTTGACTTTTCAAAATTACCATCAGTGTAGGCAATAAAAACACAACAACGTGAAAATAACAAACTATCAGCATTAGGTTCACTGTTTAGTATCTTAAATTCAAAAACCACAAAGCATAAGACAATAAATAAAACATAAAGGTATGAAGTGCTTTTTAGCAATGAAAAGGTCACCTGACTAATTTGAAGTTCCCTTTGGTTCCTGGAATGTCCGTAGGAAACTCATCTGGTGTACTACTACCACAGGATCTGTAACACTCTGGTCGAGGACAACTTGGGTCATCAAGTTTATAAATCTGAAAGTTTCCATAGAAAAAGAGACCTGTGTTTGTTATCTGCATCACAATTAAAGTTAAGTAGTTTTGGGGTCCACAGTACAGAGCTCACCTTAGCATTAGCATATCCAAGCTTGATGGTAATGTTTCTTTCTAGTTCATTTTTGAACCTGACTGTGTGAACTCCAGAAATAGCTTTTACAACTGTAGATTTCCCATGAGCTACATGACCGATTGTACCTATAGACAAAGCACAAAGAATTACCTCATGTGTATTAAATACACCAAATACTTTTTTTCAAACAGTGTAGGAGCAGAAAACCTGAAGCCCTAACTTACTGTTAAACATCAATGTAAAACCAACTGTTTTCATTCAAATTTTCTTCCTACATATCTACTCCTACTAAAAACTTTTAACCATACTTAAAGTAATAAAAGCTATTCATCTGGGGAACCAGCAGTTAGGGTAATGGCTATGTCGCTGGACTCCCACGTAGTCGACCACAGTTCGCGTCCCAGACCCGGTGGCTTAAAACTCACACCGGGTGCGTGTGCGTGCGTGCTCAAGATCCCGAGAGGAGAATGGAGGAGAACGGATTGCGGTGTGACCATCCCCCTGGGGGGTGATTTCTCGCTTTCTGTCTCTATGTCTCTGTCTGTCTGGCGAGCGCATGTGCCCTATAGCAATAACCTCTCAAAAAAAAAAAAAAAAAAGGTCTTCATCTGATGTTTATAGGAAGACTGACTTCATTTAAAATAAACACTCAATAAAAAGTACATAAAGTCTTGTGTTCATGGATATGTACATATCAGCTGTGCTTGCTATTAAAAATATTTAGATTTATTAAGATATTTAGTGAAACAATAAAATGGGGGAGGCATAGAAAGCAACAATAGATACCAGACACAGTGTAGGAGGAGGGTGGGAGATGGCAGAGGGTGAGATAGGGAATCAAAGACGGGAAAAAAGGCAAAATATACAGAAAACAAGAAATGGAAAATGATTTGTTGACAATAACACATATGTTGATGTGCTTGATTGAGCCAATATAAAGTGTATTCTCAATGGAAAAATCTCATTTTGTATGCTATAATGATGTACAGTGAATGTATGTAAATAAAGAAAGAAAAAAAAAATGTAAAAAAAAAAAAAAAAAAAGTACATAAAGTCTTGTATGTTAGGAAACTTTCCTGGACCCACTTGGGAAGGGTTCTGGGTTCATGTCCTGAGAGTACCTGAGCAAACCAAGCGCACAGGCACCTATCAACCTAGCCAGCTGAGATGGGTAATTGCAGTGTGAAGACCCTGTTGGGGATGCCTATCTCTGTGTCTCTTGTGGGATAAAAATAAACTTAAAACAAAACTTTACAGAATTTCCAGTGTAAATAGGTATGACAAGCCCTGACACAACAAAAAGAATTTATAAAAATAAGAAAACTCAATTTTAATTACAGTAATGCTGTCAAGGATAGCACATATTTTATAACTTTTTAATAGCCTCACAGTAGTCTTAACTAGGTTTTACTGTGCTGTACAGACTCAAAATGTCCGAAACTTACACTCGGTCAACATAACTTCTCTAAAGTTCTAGGTGCCAATTAAGCAAAAGAAAAGAAAAAAACTTGACTTAATCATAGCTTGTATAGCAAATAAAACTTCCATAAACTCTGCACTTGCAATAACCTTGTGTGGCAAGTAGAGCTGCATTTTCACCTCTTCCTTAATCTGCTACATATGATTACACACTGCCTTATGCTCTTAAACTTTTCATATCTTTTTTTCTCACCTAGTCTGTAAGCTAAACAAGGGAGACATTCTTTTGTGTGGTCACTGTTTCCCCTCTCCTCCCCAGCCAAAAAAAAATCTAGCAGGTGGTTTCCTCACAAAGGCTGAACATCTACTTCTGAATAGCTGAACCCTATTATTGAGGTTATCATACAAAAAGAAAAGTTAAAATTATTTGCCAGAGTTCAAGCAAGTCAGGTCTCTAAGTTATTCTTATCTTACCTATATTAATAGTGGCTTGTCTGCTGATAACTTCATGTGAAAGTGGAGTCAATTTGGTAACATCCTGCAATTAAACATAGTTATCTTAAAACGGTGCATATAAGTAAGTGGAATTTTGCTACTGGCTTTCCATTTGCGATGTACAACTAGCCGCCATCTGTATAGCTCTCTTCTTCATATAACGCGCCTTACCGGTATAAGCCATCTTGTACTCTGATTGGGAAGCCCTAAAAGCCCTTCGTTGTTACGTAACAGACTACAGTTCCAGTTACTACGGGCGATTTAGAGGTCCCAGGCCCTCAATTATGGGAGTATTACCTCTGACAATTAGACATCCCCCTACCAGACCGGCGGTAGTGAAAGCCTTAACAACACTTAACACCACGACTTTCCAGCCTAATCCTTCAGGAGCTCCGGGTCCCAGAATCACAGACCCTCACACCCAGCTCGCGGACTCACAGAAGTACAGGCGGCGGTGCGAGCGGAGCTGAAAACGCCGTCCGGGGCTCCCTTCTAACCCACGCTTCAGACAGATCGGCAGAACTTTGTCCCAAAGCTTCCCGGGAAGCTCACTCCGCATTCTCCCAAAGCGAAACCGTCCCAAAGTGGCGAGATCCTGGCGAGAAAGATGAGGCTGGCCCAGAGTCACCCCAGCTTCGCCCCCTGCCATCTTGTCCAGAGAGGAAGGAAGTTGGTCTGGTTGCCGCCTGACTGTATTCAGGCCCCTTCTACCAGGGCGGGGAAGCGGAGGAGGGCGGGCTGACCAAGGCTAAGGCCTGGAAAGGAGAGTGATCGGTGCAGCAATAGCTTCACTTATTGCACTTCTTCTCCACTTTAACTTGTTCCGGACCTGCCTACAGCCTTAGTAAGAAACAGAATGCGAAATTTCGGGATTTGTTTGTCGTAAACCTGTTAGAAATTTATGCAGGCAGCGCTGCGGGCAGCTCCAAGAAAGGCCCCCTGAGAGGCGGGGGGGGGGGGG